TCCTTCGTATTATCAATAAAAATTGCATACGTATTTGTCCTTTTTTTTTGTCGTAATTGTATTATTTCTTAGCAATATTTAAGTCTTTTTTTTCTTTCTTTCATTTAAATAACAATAACCTTTTTTCAACGATGTAATTGTTTTCTTCTGCATAGAATAAAAATGTAATTCTTTCTTCGTAAAAAAATTTCCAAGAAGTTAGTATTTGTTCTGCGTTCGACGTGTTTACGTTCGTAGTTATTTGATTTTAATTAAACATCTTGTAACAAAAAAATTTTCCCATTAAAATTCCACAGTTAATAGATTAAATACTGATTATACGATATTTAATAAATATTTATAAATAAAATATTAATAAAATTATAATAAAAATGGCAAATATAAACAGGTAAATACTTCGTACAAAATAAATCATTCATAATTTCAATATCGTGAGAAAATAATTAAACAAAGAGAAAATAAAGTATGCACGAAAGAGAAAAAGTGGAAAAATGAATGAATCGTTAAACAGAACCGACAGAATGGACGATGTCCTTCCTCGATGCGGTCGCTGACTGTGATAGGAGGAGGAAAAAGAAAACGAAAATGAAAAGATGAGACTGGGCAAGGAAAAAAGAGTGTGGGAGGGATTGTGAAGAGAATCGTGGATAATCCCTCTATAATCCGCGAATCATTCTCGGGAATGAATCTTTCTATCGATCCAAAAGGGGAATATAATTGAAAAACTTGCTACTTTATCGTAAAGAAGGAAAGGAAAAAAAAAAAGGAAAGAAAAGAAAACGTAAGATGGTTAATAGAAATTGTTTTTTCTTCGTTAATCATTTTCGAAAAAAAAAAGAAGAAAAAAAAAGAAAAAATAATAAATATAAACGCAAAAAATGCGCACAAAGTAAATATTATATAGAATATAAATTAGATTTGCCTGAATATAGGCAACACTTTCTACTCCGTCGATAAATTTGTTGCAATCGAATAGAACTTCTATTCGCGTATATACACCTATGTATGAAGGGAAAACAACATTTCAGGGGCTTCGGAAAAACAATTTTCTCGATAAAACAAAAATTAATATCGATCGAAATATGAAATATTGCTTATCTTTAATATCTTACGAATAATATAATTTCGTTATATTATTATACGTACACGTATAAAATAATATACGATTAACACTAAATGAGAATCATTTTCACGACGACGTGTCGACGATTAATTCCAATGAAACAAAATTATTTTTACACTTTCCAGCAATATGTCAAAGAGATAAAAAGAAAAAAAAAGGAAAAAGTAAAGAGAAAAAGATGGAGAAGCATTATCGTAGTCGCACTTCTAAAATTCGATTCGATTCGTTTCCTGCGTCGTGCTCCTTTCGAATTTCCGCCTTTTCGAAATAACTTTCGTAGCAAGGAAGTTAGCTAGCTAGCTAGCTACCTACCTACCAACTTACCAACCTACCAACTTACCTACATACCTACCTACCTACCTACCTACCTACGCAAGACTCCTAAAACGAAATCGAGTTAAAATCGATCTTCCGTATACTTTCACGTATTCCACATACGTATACGTATATATACATACACGTATGAGAAATAAAGAAAGAATGAAAGAAAATAAAAAAGAGAACGATAAAGTACAAAAGTTTCTACTAACAATAAAGGGAGAGACGAATTCTCGAATTTTCTCGATTCGATTGAAAATATTATACTTTGATGGAGCTTAAAATTCTACTTTACTCTCTCTCTCTCTCTCTCTCTACTAGAACTATTTTCGAACGTAAATAATGCTTTCCTACGAAGGAAAAAGAAAAAATGAGATGATAGTCGAGTGGATGGATGTGAGCAGAGGCTGGGGGGGGGATGGAGGGTAGTTTAAAGGAAAGAAACATGTAACCGTACGATTCTGATTGCTCTATTCTTTCTCTCTGCCACTCTTTCTCTTTCTCTCTCCTTATGAGAATCGCGTGACACACACGTGTGCTACAACTGATAGTGGATCGAGCCAAAGTGTTGGAAGTTTGAAAATTTTACGAGAAACACACGTCACGATGTTGCTACAACCCGGCAGTCACGATGGTGCCGAGGATGTGGAGAAGAGGAGAAGGAGGATGAGGAGGAGAAGGATGAGGAGGAGAAGGAGAAGGTGGAGGAGGAGGAGGAGGAGGAGTGGAACTTCTCCACTCCCTGTTCTCGCGAAATAAGCTCGTTCACGGTTCACTGCGACTCAATTTCAACCGTAGTTACATAACGGACGTTGCTCTAGCACGCTCGTCGTCGTCCCTTCGTTCCTGTTACCTCACCTCCTTCCTCCTTCTTCTCCTCATCCTCATCCTCATCCTCTTCGTTCTCCTCTTCGTTCTCCTCGTCCTCCTCCTCCACCTCCTCCTCATTCGTTTAACGTTATCAACGTCGTGTTTGCGCGTGATGGCCCATCCGTACACCCGGACAGATTGCAACATCGATCGATAAATAGCAAGATCCCTATCATAGTTCTACACACACACTATGACGTATAATAAGGATAATAATTATTAATATAAAAGGGGGTTATCGAAATTTGTAATATTTTTCTTTTATTTCATTATTAAAACTATAGTAAGAGGAATGAAGTAGGGTAGGAAGTATAAAAGGAAAGAAAGGGATCAACGGAAAATGGACAAAAATCGTCGACGTGTAATCGTAGAAATGTAGTTTTAAATTGGCCAAGGAGATTGCCAATTGGCTATGATAGGTGATCAGCAACGTTCTCTTTTCGAAATGGTCTCGATTTGAATCGGATCCAAAATGTATTGTAGCATATACTGCTTCCTATAGAACACTTTTTTTTCTTTTCGGCCAAAATCGAAAAAAGATGTGGCATAATGTTCTTTTCTTTTCTTCTTCTTATTTTTCTACGCGTATATATATATCAAAAAATATATATAAAATTTCGTTATAGATGTTGTTTAAATTATTTTAAAATTTAATTTTTAAAATTTAATTATCATAACAGGACGCATAAATAGAGGACATCATAATACTGAAGATACCTAGATTAATAAACACTAGTCTAGATAGAATCAGTAGTATTTGATTACGTGTGATAATATAAAGGTGTTTAGGAAGAAATTGTATTGTAAAATGTTAAGTATAGTTGAAATGTATGACTCTGAAAAAAAGATAAAATGTATATTGACTCGTGAACTGTAACGATCGAGGTAAAAAAATAATAACGTTTTAATTTATTGTAATGTCTTATACATTGATTAACAAGTCATAATAAAAAATTTTAGTTGCTGATGAAGTCCCAAGAAAGGAACGAAACGTACAACTGGTTCGAAATAAATCGTTCATAAAGATTTAATAACCGTTCAAAATTCCCCGTGAGACTTATGTGAATATTATAGTTCTGGGCAAGAGTATCGATAAATTAAATTAAAAAGTATATATATCATTTTTCTCACATAGTAAATATATATCTATTTGACCTTATACGAACGATGATTGATATCATTCGTCTAAGACGAATCATTGATAAAAACGTGTATCGCAATGTATAGAATGAATATATAAAATGGTCAATCAAAGAAATACAACAAGAAAAATGTAATTTGAATTTAACGCGATGAACAAAGTGAACGTAACTATGGGCAAAAAGAGAAAGACAAAGAGTAGGAGAGGTAGCCGAGAGCGTGCTCACATCGGTCTCCATTTGTCACGGTAATAATCGCACGACCTGCAACCGTGCGTGACTCAATTAGTCTGATATCGATAGGGCGGATCGTTAATAAGCCAAGAGGTCGTTAGACGCACGGTAGAGCGAGTTTCGTTTCCATTTAAAAAACTAGCCGAACGCGTAATTAATTCCTAGTTCTCTCCCCAACCCACCCCGCCCCCCTTTCCCATTTTCCCTATCCCCAGGATCGATATAATTAATGTCGTAGCAGGAAACCTAGATCGGCTAGTTCGATTATATATTTTAACATTCGCATTAATTCTGAATCGAACAAACGAACATAATGCACGTGGTTACGTGTATGTAATATATGTATGTAGTATATATACATGTAATACACATATCTACTATATATATATATGTATGTATATATGAGTACAACTCAAATCGCAGTTCTACTCTGTCGTCTTAGGAAATCTATCGTCTAGTAGTAATTCGAAAACGATTGTTGAAATTTATGAGAAGCCATTAGAACGATATCCCGTACATTCACCGGGAAATGCCTAGCCTGATTCCTAGAGCAATAAAAGAAGTCGCATGGCAGTTCTATTTTGTCTCGAATTCGATTCGAGAGTGCCACGATATAACAACATTGAGAATATAACGATGAATCTTTATCTATGTTGGATAGCATGTCTATCTTGTATATTGATAGAAGTGGACTATAATAATAGTACGAAACGTATGAACTGAAAACACGGAAAGTTATCATATGGAAACAATATCACGTGAATAATTCTGATCAATGAAATTAAATAATCTATCGTATATATCTATATATAGTATGTATGAAATAATTCTAAGAACTGGGGACAAGTTATAATCCTATATTTTAAATCAAATGAAAAAAACAAAAACAAATTATTTTTCACATCTTTGCGATCTTATTTTTTTGTTAGGATTGCCAAGTGTATAATTGCAATTCATTTTTTTAATTCGACCCAATTCTTTTCTTCCCTATTCTTTTTTCTTTTTCATTAATTTCCATGTAAAAGTATTACCATTCTTAAGGTCATCCAAATGTCAATATTTTACGAGATATTTGATATTTTATATCGTTACCTTACAAAACGATTTTGAGAATCCAATAACGAGATATTAATCGATCCTTTCTTTTCTCTAAAATAAAAATATAAAGAAAAAAGGAAGAAGAAAACAGAAAGAAAATCACATACAATAAGTTCTTAACTCTCTTTCCTATAAGACTATAATATTGTTCTCTTCGTATCATATAATCTATTATTATTATACATCATTTTTGATTTTCATTTTCTTATATTTTCCAGCAGTGAGCTCCATGCGACCGATAGACAATAACAACTGCGTAGTGGTTCAAGATATCAAGGCTGTGACTCATGAAAACGCTCACGTTCACGATCCTATATCAACTCAGATACCAACGGAAGGTAAATATTGAGCAGCCGTTAATTTGCATCCACTTTGCATGATGTAAATACTCTAGTGAACAACGTCTCACGATGATTGCTTTTGGGAGATGGACGGATGCTGCACGTTTTACGTGCCACCCGTTCGTTTTACTTCCCATCTCTATCCCACTAACTCTCCCTTTTCGCATCAAAACCAGCATCATCCCTTTTCAAGACCGCGGATGAGTTTCTAGTTCTCTCTCTCTCTCTCTCTCTCTCTCTCTCTCTCTCTCTTTCTCTTTCTCTTCGTTTATGTGCTGTAGTACACAGTGAGATTAATAACGCTATGAATACGATTGCGATATGAAATAAACACTCGACGCGTTTGAGAGTATCCAAGATGCATCAGTTTTTCTCTTACTATTTCACTCTCTCTCTCTTTCTCTCTCTTTCTTTCTTTTTCTTTCGTTCTATATAATATAACATTCATTTTCTTTACCTACGAGTTGTTTTCATCACCTTTTGAATCCCACGCACATCCCCATTCACTTTAGTTGCAAAATATTATACGTGTTATGACATTAAATTGTAATAGGTGTTTGAAATATATATCTGGGGTGGGCGGGGGGTTGGGGAGGAAAAATTAAAAAAGAAAATTCAATAGGTCGATACAAAAATAAACGAAAGAGAAATAAAAGAACGTTAACCAACGTATGTAAATGAGCTATGATCGATAATATATATATATAATATAATATAATATAAATATGCATAGAGTATTAAAAATACCTTACGTTATATCGAAAGTTATTAAATGCAAAAAAGAAAAAAAAAAGGAAAAAATACAATATGAAAATGAAATGAAATTTGAAAACGTAGAATACTGACTCGCGTGCCGTACATTTTGAAAATGGCTACGTAAACGTAACTGCATTGACCGCATCGGCCCAGTAGGAGGAAATCGAATACGCTCGATAGAGTTTCATTCCGGAGGGAAATGGAAAGTATCAAAACGCAGAGATGTACCCGGAGGGCTCGTGAAACCGTCTACATTATTGCTACAATGATAAAATCATTATTTAGTGGTTGTAAAAATACATGAGTTAGTATGTTAGTTAGTTAGTTAGTTGTGTGTATATAATGCTTTCAAAAAATAAAAAGAAACATAAATAAAAAGAGAATGAGAGAGAAAGAGAGAGAGAACACGAGGAGGGAGAAAAAGAAAAAGAAAAAAAAAAAAAAAAAAAAAATAGAGAAAAAGAACGATTTCCTCTGAAACAACGATCGTTTTGTTTATAATTAAAACATGATTTATTCGATCACGCTATGTTATATAAAATAACAGCCTTTTGCTCGTGATAATTACTCGATGATCTTGCAAGCCACGCTCGATATATCTTGAATTATCTGATTCATATTTATTATACCTTCCTTATCCGTGTAAAAATGTTAATCGAGTTTTCCCTTGCTTTTCCGACGAATAATCGTCACGTTGTTTTATAACACGCGAACAGTATATCCAGTTCGTATAATATATATCCAAATTTATACGATTATGTACTACTATATGTATAGTATATATTATTTTTTACATATATATATACACATATGAACACACTTTCGTAAACTTCTTTGCAATCTTTTTATCTCTTTGGTCTTTAATTATTAAAAATAAAATGAAAAAAAAGAAGACAAATTTCCGAACACAAATTCATGCCCGATGTCATTTGAAAAAATAATCTTCCCGATAGGGCGTGGCAATTTTTATACCGGTCACCCGGTAGAGAGAGAGAGAGAGAGAAAAAGAGAGAAAGAGAGAGAAAGAGAAAAAGAGAGAGAGATACTCCGAAATCAATAGAAGGGCATCGCTCATAAATTGGAGGGAATGAATGCAAACGGGAATAGAGGGGTAGGAGGGTAAGAGGAGGAATGGAGAAAGAAAGAGGAAGGAAACTCATTCGAATGCCGCTCGCTTTCTTTTGCATTTGCATTTTACAATCCCTTAATGTTCTTACGCACTCGACTCCAACTACGATTCCACTTTCAAGCCACCACCCTTTCACCCATTTCTACCACCCACCCACCCACGTTTCCACCTTTACTCTCTTTTCCTCGTAGTGCCATTAAAAATATCAACATATAGTTTTTCTTTAAAGCTTTACGTATCATACCTGTAAAATATGAATACGTATATTAACGATCTATGCTTATTAACTTTAACAACGATTTTACTATCTTGACATTAATAATTTTCTTCGTCGTAACTCGATCGTTATCGTTGATCTATTTTAAAGGTGACTGCTTTACAAATTCTTTACTTTCTTTTTAAAAAAAAAAAAACAACTAAAGCGTCAACTTTCACAGTGTAAGGTTTCGTTAAAATATAGTAAAGGTTTGTTATACCTTTTTCTTTTTCTTTTTTCTTTTCTTTTCTTTTTATTTCCATATTATATTACGTAAACTCGAATGATTCGAGAAATAGAGAAATATTATAAAAAATTAAACTGTAATATATTATATTATTTTTTTTGTAAATATTTGATCATACGCATATATCCAGCAAAACATGAAATTTATGAACACGATTGTTGAAATAGTAAAAATAGAAAGGAAAACAAAAACAAAAGAAAAAAGCAAAAAACAAATAATAATAATCGTGTTAATTGGTTTATAATTTATAGAATCATTGCCCACCAGTACCGCCGAACACTCTAGTGCTGCGGACAGTGTCGGTGAACAACAAAGCGATCCACAAATTCAACAATCGGCCCAACAATGGCCAGCGGTGCTCGAGCTTCAAGCTTACAACGTAGCGCATTCGGCCGTGATACCACCATATTACTTTTGGAATACCGAATTCCGGAATAAGCAGCCAGCATTCATCAGGTTAAACCTAACATTGCCTTGGGGTGCAAACTTTGCCGTTTACGGAAGACGAAACGTGGCACCGAGCGTCACCCAATACGATTTCGTTGAGTTTGTAAAAGGTGGCCGTGTTGATCATAGACTTAAAAGGGATGCAACATCCGAAGCCGTAAGCTTTATGAAACAAGCAACTCAAGATTTTGGGATCGAACCTAATCGATCTAGATCCCGAGAGACTGGACCCAAAACTATCAAGTCTTATCAACATATTCTCGTCAAAAGAACTATCGTTGAACCGATGATGGTCAATGTTAGTCTTCTTCAATACTTGGACACTGGCCGTTGGTTCTTATCTGTTTATAACGATGAGCTTCAACCGTATAAGGTAACGCTGGTCGTCACCGAAGCTGAAGGAGTTTCCACTACTTGTCCTAACGATTGTTCCGGTAGAGGATCATGTTATCTTGGTAAATGTGACTGCATCGATGGTTATCAGGTAATTAATAAAAACTGATGTTTATACTTATCTACGCACGTAAGAAGTTATACTTCTTTACAGTAACAAAACATTTTTTTTCGCAACCTATATGCCTTATAACGTTCCACGTTTGTTTGTGATGAATATTTTCTTTTTAAATACATTTTTATAATAATAGAAATTTAAATGTATACTGATACTGGTAAAAAATATCAAAATATAAGAGAGTTATATCAAATTTCTACATTCGCCAACGGGTATGGCGCGGTGACAACACAAGTTCCTGCACGATCAATTAAGTCAAGCAGCGCTTGAGTACGATTAGAACTTGTCTGGGTGACTAATGACCGCTTGAGAAAAATTTGAAATCGCTTTGCTGCCCGCGCATCGTAAATATCGAATAACTTTGTGGTGTCGATTTTTCAGTCGCATCTAACCTCCACTTTCCAAAACGCGCTAAAAGAAGTATAACTTCAATAATAATAATAATAAATAACAATAAAGTTCAGTTATATTAGATATTTGTTAAAAAAAAGACAATTTCGTTGAATTGATTTCGTTTCCTTTCTTCCTACCTAACTTCCTTCCTTCCTTCCTTCCTTTCTCGAATTAAGGTTAAATCAATTGTGTGTTCCAGGGTGCCGACTGTAGCAAGAGCGTGTGTCCTGTTTTGTGTTCGTCTCACGGCCAGTACGGCGGTGGCATGTGTCACTGTGAGGATGGCTGGAAAGGTGCCGAATGCGACATACCGTTAGGAGATTGCCAAGTTCCTGATTGCAATCAGCATGGACAGTGCGTTAGAGGATCGTGCGTTTGTAATCCTGGCTGGAAGGGTGCCTTCTGTAACGAACGTAAGTCCACTCTCGAAATTAAACTAAACTTGACGATAGACTATTCAAATGTGTTCTACGTGTAGAGTTACAAGTAAGGTAGAAGACACACGTACGTACTATTATATACGTCAAATACACGACAATAGTTTTCGATTATCTTAAAACGATTTCGGAGGATATTTTGTAATTGTGTAATAGTAAATTAATCACATTTTTCCTTTTATTTTTTAATCGACATTCAGAAATATCGAAATATTATAGATTTTTAAGTAAAAATATTCCTTTCATTTCTTTTCTTTACATTTTTCTAATAAAATTAAAATCAAACATTTACTCAAGCCGTAAACCGTTTGCAATTTGAAAGATTAGTCTCTCTTCTCACGTTAATGTTTCCAGTAGTAGTAAAAGTAATCCGTTGTGTCAGGGAAAAGTTCGAATATGTTAAAAGGCAAGCTTAACGTGTACCTACACCTTTTAACAAATTCTCTTTACGTTTATAGAGAAAGAACAGAAAGAAAGAATGAGTGAGTAAGATAGAGAAAGAGAGAGAAAGTGAACGAGTGAATGGTAAAGAAGATTAGAACGTTGCAAGCATACTATAAACTGTTTCAAAGAAAACGTACAAAGTACAAGGAGAATAGAAAGCTTCTATTATCTAAAAAGGTATTTCTTTGTATTTTCGTTCTTCGTATAAAATATCAAGAAAAATCAAAGTAATTAAAAAAAAAAAAAAAATAGAAGAAAAACATATTAGCCTCGTTAACCAAAATTTTTGAATGAAACGATAAAAAAAAAGCTGTAAAAGTATCGAAACGTATGGGAAAAGAAAAAAATACATTGGTTATATTAACGTTCTTGGTATTTATCACGGTACTATTAAATTCTCCATAATTCAAGTTTATGCTCGGCCGTGGTGTCCTATATCCAAGGAAGATCCATGATATTAGTAATGCACAGTGTCTACCAAGGCTGTTAGATAGAACATAGCTTTCTTCCCCTTTACTATACATATATATATCTATATATATATATATATATATATATATATATATATATATATATATATAGCGATCTATAATTAATGCACACGACGTTCTCCAAATTTACATATAGGTCAAACCGTGCCGATTCGAGTCCAACAATTAGTTTAGCCGCTTTCGCATTGTTTTAGGTAGAGAAATTTGAATTTTACACGAACACGATTGTGCGGAACAGGTGGATGGTAATAACGAACGAAATAAGATGAATGAAAAGGAGAGTGGGAATGGATACACACATGGCAAGCAAATATCTCTGAAAGCTCATTCTCGTTTTGATCTACATACCTCAATTTATATATATATATATATGTATATATGTATATATGTATATATGTATATATACCTTCTTGCGAAAATATTTCGAAGAATATTTGTTTCAAAGAAAAATTACTTTATACCCCTTCACCCCATCCCCCACCAACCCCCTACCCCCATCCACGACCGGCTTCTAAATGGTAAAATTATTCTTCAACGTAAAGGGAACGCTTTGTCTCTGACACTTTCAGACAGATTCACCGATCGACCTCAAGACTTCTTTATTCTTTCTTCTATTTTTCTGTTGTGTGGACGAAAATAACTCGAGAAAAGTCCTGCCACGGGGAAAGACAAATTTAAAAAGAAACAAAAAAAAGATAAAACTGGTTACTATTACGCGTAGTGCGCGATTGTATATATATATTTATATTATATTATATATATACGTTGAAAAGTAGGACGCGTTAACGCACACATACACCTCTTCTTCTTACTCGTCTCATTGAATCCTACGGAAAAAGGATTCTTTCTCAATGATGTTCGTGAGATAGCATTCTTTCCTTCTACAGTCTGTAACGCTTTGTTCACAATAAACGTCGGAATAAGAAAAAGAAGAAGAAGAAGATGAAGAAGAAGAGGAAAACGAGAAAAAGAAAAAAAAAGGAAAAGTAAGAAAAAAAAAAAAAAAAGGATAAAAGGAAAAGTTAGAGTAGGCAACAATATTACGTCCCCGTTCGATCACTGTCGCGCATACTTCACGTTTAAAGAAACCCACGAGAAATTCCAGTTTACTGTGGGTCAAGTGAGAGACGACGACGACGACACCACTACCACTACCACCATCAACCACCATCACCATCACCATCACGTGAAACGGGTCCTGGGATATATTAACGTTCTCTTCTTTTCTCGCATAGACTACGACGACGTCCTTCGTGAATGAGAGAAAGAAAGAAAGAAAGAAAGAAAGAGAAATAAAGATAGTAACATTCGCGTTTACGTTTCTGCGACGCAGAAGAGTGCCCCGTTGGAAATTAAGTTTCATAATTTCCCCGGGGCGAGAGAGCGGTATCCGCGGGGATAATGCAATTGTTCCGATGCCCGTAATTTAAAAAGTTGCCAGAACGGACGACGATGTCGTCGTGCTTATCCGAAAACGAAAGAGAAAACGTCGTCGTTTATACGAAATCGTCCGACTGTTTTAAACTGTGCTCGGGTTTAGATTCGTTCGTTTGGTTTGTATTGTTTTTTTTTTTTTTGTAGATTTAAATAAGACATTTCTCTTCCTTCCTCCCTACTCCCACCTTCCCCGCCCCCCTAAAATAGAAGACTAAAAAACAACAAGCACGTCGAATTAAATTAAATTTGATCGTTATTTATATCGTATCACGTATATTATGTAGTTTGCGAATCCGTACTCTCTCAATCCTCTTTTCAAGATAGCATATATACATATCATACATACATAGATACTCTATGCATGCATGTACACACATAGGTAACTGAGTTGTACAGAGTACCTACATAATTTAATCGATATTCCGAAACTCTGACGAAATTGCACTGAAGTTTCGTGGACGAGACGTCGTCGAAAAGCGAATAGAGAGAATGAGAGAATAAGAGAAAGAGCGAGAGATAAAGAGAGAGAGAGAGGGAGAGAGAGAGACAGACATGCGATTAATCGAGAACAACCCTTTATCGTTTCAGCCGATTGTCCGGATCCAAACTGCAGCGGTCATGGCGCCTGCGTGTCCGGCAAATGTTACTGCAAGGCAGGCTGGCAGGGTGAACGATGCAATCAGGTCGATCAGCAGGTGTATCAGTGTCTACCGGGTTGTTCGGACCATGGCACGTACGACCTAGAGTCTGCTGCGTGCATCTGCGAGGAACATTGGACTGGGGTCGATTGTTCACAGTCCAGTTGCGGCCTCAACTGTGGTTCTCATGGATCCTGCGAACAGGGTCGTTGCAAGTCAGTATTAATTATCTTCCGTTTCTGTTTGTTCTCTTTTTTCTTCTTTTCTTTTTTTATTTTTTTTTTTTTTTAATTCACTTGAATAAATTAAACGTTGCACACAAACTTTTTTACCACCGATGGAGACCATTTTTTAATGATTACATTCGTTGGGATTATATTTGTTATACGAAATTGATTTGAAGCGCCTTAATGTATGCAACACTTAATACCTCGTCGATAAGGTAGCTCGCTAATATTATCTATTGGTAAAAAAATAATTATTTTTTTTTTTCTATACGCGGTTTTTGTGTAAAAGTAAAAAGAATGATTCGAAACAATGTATCCGTTATAAATAACTTGGAGAGAAATATTATCGATGAAAATAAGATTGAATTCCTGTTATCGGGGCACAACAACAATACAACGAGGATTATAATTTCAAAACACTTATTTCTATGTCGGTAGCATAAGGAAGAAGTTTCTGCGGTCGTTACTAAAAAAAAAATTGGTAAATTGCTCGGAGCAAAAGCGACGACGAGGGGTTGTGAAGTCGTTTTGGTTAAAAAGGTGAAAAATTGTGAGAAAAAAGCCAGGCTATGTTTTACGAAGAAAAGAGGGGTAGAAGGAGGAAGAGGAGGGCTGGTTGGAAAAGAGGGGTGTCCCAACTTATCACAACTCGAAGGACCTCCGTCCCTTTTCTACTTTCCTTTGTCAGAATCAAGGACGCGAGAGAGAGAGAGAGAGAAAATCTCCTTTCTCATATTCCAAAGCTGACGCCTTTCCTCTCTTCTTCCCTTTCTTTTTTTCTTTCTTTCTTTTTTCTTTACTTCCTTCCTTCCTTCCTTCCTTCCTTCCTTCCTTCCTTCCTTCCTCTCTTTCATTGGCCAGAGTTCGGCTCGTAAAGGAGCCTGTAAGTGCAAAAAGTTCTCTTTCCGCGGGTAGGATAACTTTTTCAACTGAGTTTAAACTCACATTTTTTATTATAAACGATAGAAACTCCACACCGGCGAATAGATTTTCCGTATTCAAAAGTGAAAAACATTTGGCGCTTTTTAACTTCCTTTCTCTCTCTCTCTCTCTCTCTCTCTCTTTTTCTCTCTTGATGAGAAAACATCGATCGAAAATTCAAAATTATTTCTATGACTAACTAGTATACAAGAATGAATGTAAAAACTTTTCCCTTTATTTTCTTCCAAACGATTTAATATTGGTTCTTATTACTTTTGATACACGCGCGTCTACAACTATGGAATATTTAAACAAAATCTTTATCCTGTAAATTAGATTCTATCCTTGTTAAATCAAATTGTCATTTATTATATTAACTTTATAAATGACGTATTTGATTGTTTAAGGGATTTTTCTTTTCTAATATATAAACGATTTAGTTTTGAAATCCGATAATACGTGATTTTTTTGTTTAAATTTAATTTAGATGTCACGATGATTGGACTGGAACGAAATGCGATCAGAAACCATGTGATCCACGTTGCGCCGAACATGGTCAATGTAAAAACGGTACTTGCGTGTGTAGTCAAGGATGGAATGGAAGACATTGTACTTTACGTAAGCAAATTTTCATTTGTTGTATTCATTTTTGTTTCTTTTTTTTTTCATTTAATTTTCTCAAATTTTATCGAAGCATAACGTTAAATGTAACCTTGTTTTTAGCCGGATGCGAGAATGGTTGCAGTAGACACGGACTGTGCACGTTGCAGGACGGCGAGTACAGTTGCGAATGTTCGATCGGTTGGGCCGGTAGAGATTGTAGTATACGACTCGAAATGGAATGCAATGATATGACCGACAATGATGGGGGTATGCTTCTAAATGATAACAAATTTAAACAAACAAAGAAAAAACAAATTAAATCCCATATAAGTTCAACACTAAACCTACCCCGTCACTTTACCTATAATACCTATTTCTACCGTAACCGATCAAGTAACTTCTATTAAATAATAAAACAAAAATATATATCTTAATATAAAATTAGAACAAAATATATTTTCTTTCGTTTTGTATAAATTACAAAAAACTTGGGGTAATACTTTAGTGTTAATTTTGGATCAAAAATTGAATTTGAATTGTCGTATATAGTTTTTTTTTTCTATATATTTTTATGATCAAAATTAAATCCGATATAATTAAATGTTATTGTTCATTTAGATGGCATGATGGATTGTTCCGATAGCGAATGTTGTTCGCACACAACTTGTGCCGATCACATTATGTGTCTTGCCAGTAAAAATCCCGTTGACGTATTATTGAGGAAACAACCACCTAGTGTAACTGCATCGTTTTATCAACGAGTCAAGTTCCTCGTCGAGGAGAATAGCGTTCAGAGTTACGCGCACATGGACGAATACACGGAAAGGTAAGATCGAACTGTTCTTTAAATCTTTATCACACCGTTATTTATTATCTCTGGTTTTTTTTTTTTTTTTTTTTTTTTATTTAATCTGTAAAAAGACTAATCATATACGATCTAGCGAGCTTAGTTCATTATTTTCATAACATTTACATAGGAGAGGATAACATACGGATCGATCGAGTTAATTATAATCGAATTGCTTTTTCTTTTTTCCTTTCTCTATACTACTTTACTTTTAATTCATTTTCTCTGATATTGCTTGTAGATGTTTTTTTTTTTTTGGGTAGAAAATTTTATATTAAAAAAAGAAAGATAAATATAAAAAGAAAGTATAAATGACTCGTTATGTTTAATATAATTTTGATAATAATCAACTCGATCGATTTATATACTTACGATTCCTTAATATCTCGAAATAATAGCATAGCTGCGTTATCATAGTTTGGCCTTTTTTAGGAATTTTATATAAGTGCGGGTATTAATATTGATTTTTTTCTAATTTCTAACGTATCAATGAACAAACAAGAAACACGCTAAACGTCGAGTTTCGTTTACAAATTTTCGTTAATTAACGATTACGGTACGTCGTGTCATTAATTATATAAATAATGCGAACTTCAAAAGTCGCAATATAAAGATACATAGAACATCGATGATCTGAAAGAAAGTAAAATATCGAATTCGTGTTGAACTCGGTTGTTGTTTATCCAAAAGAAAGAAAGAAAAAAAGAAAAAAAAAAAAAAAGAAAAAAGAAATAAATGAAAAAGGAAAAAGAAAAAAGGAAAAAAAAAGAACAAAAAAAAAAAAAACTGAAAAATTCATGGCATTACGATTCGTTATCGGTGCAACAACGGTTTACGATGGGGTTAATAATTTTCATCTGGAAAGCGGTTTAAAAAATAAACAAATTATTTTTCTACTTTTTTTTTTTTCCCATTTTCGTAATCAACAACAATTTCAATACTATCCTTACAATAATAATTAGAAGAAAAAAAAAAAGAAAAAATAGAATAATAATAATAATAATGTTTGGAAAAGAAAATTCGTTAACTGCAGTCCGGAGTTTGATTAAAAGATCTTAATTGAGATGATATTAATCGAATGCTTAAATAAATATCGATAATACATTTATAATATAAATAATAATATAAAAATCAATATAAAATAAAAATATGAAATCAACTATAATTCCTTCCCCCCCCCCCATCGTAAAAAGTCGTTGAACGTAACGATAATTCGATCAAATCGATTGCTATCGTATAAAAACCGTTTTATCCAGCATATCAGCGACAGTTGAGTTGTCAGGAGAACCCCCGGTGGGTGACAACCCTACAATCTCCGAGTATCCTTTTCCTTGTGTTTCAACCTTTCCCTCCCCCGAATGCCGAATGCATCATCGATCGCCTTGAAAAGTAAATATTGATCGATGGGGAACGCATATTATAATATTATTTATTTTACATAACTTTGAACTCACTTGATAATTTGTACGTACGCGCGTGTACGTCCGTGTATTTTTTTTTTTTTCTTTTTTTCTTTTTTGTTTTTTTTTCTTTCATTTCTTTTATTTTTTTCTTTTTAATATCACATTAATTAACATTTATTAAAATACACATTTTATCTCCGAGATCATGTAGTTTTGATGTTCTCATATTATAAACAAACGAAGTAGAGAGTACGCGAGTATTTATTTAATTTTTTTATTTATTAACAAGCTATACACCGGGTCGTGCAATTAATTATAAAATTATTATCTCAAAGAGTACATTTGAATTCATTCGTGCATCAAATATTGTACTAATTAATGAGATTCGTTTTATCGATATTTCAATTTAAAATTCATTCCGCGTTTCTCTCTTTTTCTCTCTCTTTCTTTTTATTATTTCGTATACATTTTATTTATACAAATGTATATATATATATGTATATATATATATACATAATAAACATACTTTTTACGTGCTGCGGTTTCCTCGTTCGGTATTAAACGAGAGAGGCGAGTTGGATGCATGCGAGATCCTTTTCACGAAGGATCTGCGAGCGCATTTCGGGGGATTCGTGTATTTTGTCTAGTGTTGATCCTCTGTGTGTACCCTACCACCACCAGATTCACCAATCACCCCACTAACAGTCGAAGACCGAAAATAGATAAGCTCCGTATTGCAAACGGACCGGACGATAAAGCCCGCATCTTAAATAATGTTTATTAGAAAAGCAAAAGCGAAAGAAAACGAAAAATTCCAAGAGAGAAAAAAGATATTAAAAAAAAAAAATAAAAAATAAGTAAAAAGAAAGAATATAAAAAAAAAATAGAACAAAAAAGAAGAAGAAGAATAATACGAAAGAGAAAACAAAAAAAAAAAAAAAA